TTCACCCTCGACGTAACGACACAACCTCTCGAAGCTCGCATCAGCGAGCTGACCGAGGAAGGCCGAGCTCTCTAAGAATCGCTCTACCAGTGCAAGGGCCAAGCCAATATAATGCGTGAAAACGATGTCACCCTGTAAGGTGAGGTCGAACAACTTCGCGACCGTAGTGCGACACTGGAATCCTCTGTATCCCAGCTGCGCCAGTCACCTCAGGACGCACAGGCGCAGACTCTTCGCGTGTAGCAGAGGGTGCGACTGCAATCAGCCAGCCCCAACTATTCCCCCCTATGGGTGTCACACCAGTGAAGCTTGATGTCACTAAGGTCGACTCCGACGCCAGCAAGCGTATCCGGTGGATCCTGCAAGTTGAGACCGCGGCCGATGTGCTGTGCATCGCCCGCAAGTCTACATGTGTGGCGTTTTCCCTTTCCCATCTCAAGCGTCAGGAGGAAGATTGGGGTACTGCATCCGCCTGACCAACTGCACGTCATTTGCAACATTTGACGAGCTTGTCGCGGCGATGAAACTACTCATCCTTCCTCAACACAGCGATTTCCAATATTGCTCTAAGTTACCAGCATGCAAGCAAAGCACACGCTCCTTGCAAGACTACATTCACGACTTTCGCGTTTTGGCCGTTAAAGGCAACGACGACTCCACGCTACAGGAAGCGCTCCGCGTTAAAGTCATTATGGCCGGGGTCTCCCACGGTCCGGCTCGTACATAGATCTTCCGTGTCTACCCAGCTTCATTCGAAGAGGCTGTTCGCATCGCCTAACTGAGTCGTACGCCTCAGCCCAAGCGCACAATCGTGCCGATATCTCGGATATGAATATTTCGGCAATACTCAACGGCAAGTACAGTAAGAGTCACATTTGGCGTAAGCGCCGCGCTCCTCGACCCACACTCACTTCCTCTGCACAAGACGCGTTTTCCGACCCAACGGATCGCCGCCCAAGCAATCGAAAACACTCGTGCCGTGGGCGTCCCCCAAGAAGATCCCATAGGTCACCTGGTCGATCGACCACCAGGCGGTGGGAAACGACAAACCCCAGTAAGCGCGAGGGCACCCTAATGGGGAACGAATATGTCCTCCCGAGGGGTGTGGTGTCGTATCACATTGGAATGACCTAGCCTCAAACACAGACATTCATCTGTGCCTCGTCGGGCTTCGCCCCAACAACCTGGATATTTTCTCTCTTGCCGTGCCGGGTTTTCACACCCGACTCACTGTGTTGATCGATTGTGGAGCATCGGCAAACTACGCTAACCGCTCCACGCTTGGTCGTTTTGGTTCTCTCCCCGTGTCAGACTCCCCTGACATGGATCGCATAAAGATGGCCGACGGCCGCATCTCCGCCGAGCAGCGTTTAGAAGTTACGTTGCCTGTAACCTTTGACGATTTCGACTCGCTCGAAATTTTTTGTTTTTTTGAGATCGATTTGGATGAGCGTTGGGACTTCATCCTTGGAAGGCTTGGCTCGAATCCAATCAACCAGGGATCGATTGGATTAATAGAGAGATTTCGCAAACGATCCGTTCCCGGTGCCAGAGCCATAACTTTTGGCACTTGATAATTGTACGGCAAACCTCTAAATTTAAATTTGGGTTGCCACAGAAACGGCCAAATGTACGGAGAGTCGTGCCATAGCCAGATACAGCCGCTCCCAAATGGCCAACACAGACAAGCGTCGTAACTGGTCGCAAGAAGACGACTATACCCTTCTCGAGCAGGTGGCAGCCGATACTCCTTTCGCTGCTGAGAATGGGCAGATCAAGAGAGCCTGGCAAGGCCTGCGGATGCCCTTATGGCGTGCGAGAACTTCGGTCGTGTTGTCGATGGGAAGAAGGTACAGAATCGGTTCCTCGCCCTCGTTGACGAGCATCGAAAGTTCGACGCAGCATCAACGCGACTTTCGGGCTCTGACCAGCAAGAGTAGGAGAAGCATATGCTTTTGGACGACATCGTCACCTTATACGATGATGTGAAGATCGAGCTGCAAAAGATAGAGGAACAAAAGCGGTCCCAAGGTCAAGACAAAAAGGACAAAGTCGAACAAGGTGGGCAAATGGTCCGCGAAATGGCCATGAAGACAATGAAGCGACGACGCGACGTTGAAGGCGACGATCCAAAGCGTCCAGCGCACGAGAACCGTCGCAACAGTCTGGCTGCTGCGAACTTGGTCGAGAGCGAACTTGAATAGGTCGCCCGAGATTGAGAGCTCGCTTTCCAGCGCGAAAAATTCGAGTCGGAGATTCTGCAACGTGAGCTCGACCGTGAAGATCGGAAGGCAGAGCGTGAGCGCCAATTGGCATTGGCTAGCATTGAGAGCGCGAAAATGACAAGCATCATTAAGGCTTTGTTGGAGAGTAAAAAGTAGTCATAAAGTTGGACATTTCATGTTGTTAGATTTCTACAATGTGAGTGAATTCCGGCATCAAGTACTCCTTCAGTGTCGGTGGGTTCATGCCAAAGTAGGATGAAATTTGGTTTCCGCCGTGGTAGCAGCAATTACAATTGGTCATGAACATTGCCACGAGAACCACCGCCCCAACGTTGGATACCATTATCTTCTGCTGCATTTTGTAGGTTGTAAATCCCCACAAAGTTTTCATTCGACCGAAGTATCATTCGACTCCTTGGCGGACTCGGCTCATGGCTGTGTTGAAACTCTGTTTTTGCGCGTCCAAGTTGTTCCCCTTGTAGCCAGACACAATCCATTTTGAAATGGGATAGGCAGGGTCCCCATAAATGTAGTAGCCATCAAATATGTCCGAATTGGCCTCAAAGTACTCTTGCAGCTGACTGACGCGAAGCAACGTCACATCATGTCGACTACCCTCCAAGGGTCTGAAGAAGTGAATACACAAACCATCTGGGGTCGTCAACCCTTGGAAGTTGAGGCAGTGCATGCGTTTGTGGCCTGAGTACGTCCGCTTTTGTAAGTTCATGCACTAATACGGCAAGTTTCAACCTTGGTTTCGTCGGGAAATGCCCAGACATTTGAAAGTGGTGATCCCTTTGCGTGGATTGCGCTGGCATACTGAGCGATTCGTGCTCGAACAATGCGCTTGTTGCAGTAGATGTGATCCCTCCAGGAGGTGTAGACTAAAGCGATCATGTGCTTGAATATGCGGTATATTTGCTCACGAGACCGACCAAAGGTTGAAAGCATGTCGTAAAATGTAATGGGGTAGCGAAGACGTTTGAGCAGGATAGCCATAGCCTCAACACCAGTAACTCGGTCCCGTGCTGGTGTAATAACAACGTTCGGCACCTCGAGCAAAGACGTGAGCTGAAGAACCCCGGAGACGTCGAAACGAAACGAGAGCACTGCGTCAGCATCACGCATGTTGATGTCAAAGCTGACAGCTGGGATCAAGGGTCGTTCCACAAGTATGCCAAGGGCATACTCCAGAAGCATTGTTGTTGAAGTTGGACTGAGCTTCTTCCGCTTCGTCAACTTGTACACCCGGGGAGCAATAATCGATTCGTCATTAGCACTGACGAGTACTGACTCAGTACTCATGGCAGGAACAAATCAAAAATGTGAAGTTGTGATTGATTCGAGTTACGATCTAAATCCGTATGCTGCAATGGCAGCCATTTTGCGAAATGACCAAAACGGCCTGGCCATTGCCGTTGCCAGTTCGGATTCTAGTTCTATGGCACTGGCAATGGCTGGTTTGCGAAATGTTTCTAATGAAAACCATTCAAAAGGTCGTTTGGCTGAAGACTGATCAGCCATGGATCGACGACGCGCCGCTGATAAGGCCTCACAACCTTGGGCGTTATCCGTGGCCACTGCCCTCACGGCGATGAGTAATGAACTCGTTGCTGATGCCGCATCAGTGTGCTTGTTGGCCCCAGCACACTTCCCTTTCGAAATCCACGTCGGCAACCACATCCCAATAGGTTGTACCCTCGTCTGCTAGCTCTCCAGCAGACGCGGCCGTCGTAACTACCCCTCCCTTCGACCCACCTCGTTCCCACACCAACTTCGCCCCTCCAATGACCCTTCAATCGCGTTGGGCTTAAATTCACCAGTCGCGTCGCCTTGTTGCAGCGCCACCTATCTCAAGTCTGCAAATTGTCAACGCAGATGCGTTGATTCAGCAAGTTTGCAACCTCGACGAGTTGCCTCGATCCTCGTCCGGCATCCTGACTTTGCCTAAGGTGAGCTATCGCTCCTTCTTGAAATCCCTCCAGTTGCATGGCATTTCTTGCATAGCGATGATCACGTGCGATGAAGACCTCGACCTTTTGTCATCGTCCACTGCAGACGAATCTGTCCTACCCAACCCAGCGGAGTCCCAACCTGAATTAAGGATGTATTCCCCGACGACGTCCTCTCTCGCCTAACCGTCAACAAGGGTATACGACATGAAATTGACCTCGTGACAAGTAACAAATATTGCGTTACTCGCTAATGCCCGCTTCCACGCGATCAAGGCGTAGCGATCGACGCGTTCTTTGCGGCTCGTAAAGCAGCCGGCCACGAACGCGAATCCACGTCCCCACACAGTAGCACGACGTTCTGTGTGAAAAAACGTAACGGAAAATGGCGAATCGTTCACGCCTTCAGCAAGCTCTACCCACCACCATTCCGGCGCAAACTTCAATCCCCCGCAAGAGCATCGACGGCATGGGTCGATCCACCATTTTCTCTACCATCGACTTGCGCGATGGGTTTATCAAGTCCTCATGCGCCATTGTGTCGTGCCGAAGGCCGCCGGGTCGACACCAAGTGGAATGCTATGGGAATGGCTCGTGATGCCCGAAGGCCTATCCAATGCCCCGGCGACCTTCAATCGCATGGTGACACTGATGGTCGCTGACGCCCTGTATCCTGTCAAACTCGCTAGCCCCACGTCGCCGAGCGCTCGTACCCGGTTCACGATCTTGAGCTCCTCTCGATCAAGTACGCCCTCACTAAGTTCCGTGTCTATCTCATTGGCACGGACCCCTTCATCGTACATACTGAACACGCGTCGCTGCGGACTGCGTAAACACACCCACATGCCACCTCAAATGGCTCTCTGGCTTTCATTCTTCACCGAATACAACTTCTCGGTTCAATACACACGGGTCTAGGACAATGTCTTGGCTGACGCGCTTTCTCGGCGTCCGGATTAGTCCTCGTCCTTAGAAGTTACCTCGATCTGCTTTCTCCACTCCGAACTGCATGATCGTATACGAGCTGCTTATTCCCTGGACATGCCTTGCTCGACCGTGTTTAGTTCTCTCACTGCCCCCGAGCCTCTCAAGCCTCCTTGATCACCGTCCTTACTCCATCCTTACTCTGTTCGTGATGGCTTGCTGTACTTTCATCCCACCCAGGTCACACCTCCACGCATTGTTGTCCCGGGCATTATGCGATTCGTGTCTCTCTTCTGCGCGCGTACCTTGATTCACCCAGTGGCGCCATTTCGGTCACGACAATATGTACCCTGCGTTGGTCCGTTCGTACTGGTGGCCTCGCCAATACAATGCGGTTGCCGCCATGTCGCTCGTTGCGACGCTTGTCAACGCACCAAGATTGTGACTTCTTCGCAGGTGCCACTACACCGTTTGCCGATTCTCGATGAGCTCTAGTCATCGGTCAGCATGGACATTAAGATTCGTCTCCCGCGTGACGCTCGTATTCACACAGGTATCATGGTTTGTGTTGACAGGGTGACCAAGTACAGAATGGCCGTCCCTGTCAAGGAGTCCATCAGCGACATTGACGCCGCTCGCCTTTTCTTTGATCATGTCTTTTGTCTCTTTGGACCCCCACGGACCATCGTGTCGGACCGCGATCCCCGTTTCACCTCCCACTTTTGCTCGGCTCTGTTCGAGCTCTATGGCACCGGCCTCTTCAAGTCTACGACCGACCATCCCAACTCGGATGATGAGACTGAGCGTGCCAACCGCGCTCTTGAGGATATCTTGCGCGTATTCCGTGGGACAACCATCTGCCTCGTGGGCCACGCTCCTACCCCAAGCTGTCTTTGCGTACAACGCGTCCGTCCAATCACCCACGGGCTTATCACCTCACTATGCTGTCCCTCGCATCCCTCACTCCTCGGCAATCCCGTTTCAGGGGAGAGACGCTTTCTGCATATCCGGTGATCGAAACCATCGCTGAAACCCGACCTTCCAGCGCGCTCCGTCCAGGACTTGACGCACTTCCTTGCATATCGTCCATCTGTACTGCAATAGATCAAGGACAACCTCACGCTCGCTCAGCAGCGACAGGCGACTCAGTCCTACCGCCGTGGTCATTTCTATTTGACGACCATTTCTGTCAGCGACCTTGTCCTCTTCCAAAAATCGGCTCTCCCCGATCACGCCTTTTGTGTCCGTACCTCTGGGATCAGCGCGAAGACCAAT